GAGACAAAAAGTGTACCCAAAGCACAAGCCTGCAGCAGTTGGTAGCGCTGTCTCGGGGGGCCTTTGCCATATCATGGAACCAGTTAGTTAGCCAAGAGGAGTTAGTTAAAGCTGACTAAAGGTGTCCTTGGTCATGAATGGGCCACCTTGTTCACGATCCAAATGTTTTAATTGCCTCCTATTCACCCCATTGGTGAGGGAGGAAATTCTGCCCCAAGGTTATAGGGATGGCCACATAAACATTTGACCCCCAACACTGGACATATGAGACTGGCAGCAGTTTATTAGTCACATACACTCAGAGCTCAGGGTAGGACACTGCATGCCACAGAAGGCTAAATGGGAGCTGCCCTCAGAACAGAGCAAACAACCAGGGGCTATATGAGGAAGGCCTTGTAGTAGCAAGAGGGGAGGTAACCCCTGGTTACTGTGAAAGAATGTGATTGGCAGGAAAATGAAACCCACTACTGAGGGATGAGCAAGAGCTGTGCTTGGTCCTCATGAGTAGAGTTGTTTGGCTAGCAGAGCTGGACTCCACTGTGGGAGCAAGTAGGGTGGGGGACTTGGGGTTAGGCCATTTAAGTCCCCCCCTGTTTCACCAGATATCAATGCAGCATATAATGTTGGGCCTTAATTTTTGACCCAATACATCAACATTTACGGTGAGCAACAGTATACTTGGGGACTTCTTATTCAGAGCCTACTACACGACAAACCTGCATCATCAGTGAACAAAAACTAAGATCCCTGTTCACAAGTATCCATCCAGTGGCATAATTCTTTCTGAACATTCCCTTAGCACATCTATTGTTATTTGAGGAGAAATAAGAAAATATTGAAGTATACAAAGGTTGCTGATAAGAGAACTTTCTGAAGATCCTAATTTCCCTTCCTTTTTTGTTTCAAACTTCTTGATAAAACAACATGATAACCTGAAGTGAAAGCACAAACATCTAGAGTGGTCCCAAGGATGTCGATGAGATATACAGTCAGCACTGATTTCTGATCACTATGCTTAAAAAAAAAAAGGGTTTACCTCTTCTCCAGATCCCAATGAAATGACGGAAGAAATATACAAACAAAAACAGATCTGAAGCAGCGCTGATTATCATGAGAACTGAGTGGGACTGTTTGCTATTGACACATCAGAGAAAACAGTGAGAATCTGCTACAAGACGTAAAGCTACTAGAAAGAGATTAGTGGTGAAATATAAAAGAGCAGAGTCTCATATCTCTAAAAAAGTGAGTTTCTCTTAGAACCACAGGCTGACCCCACTGGATGGAGTGGAGGCTGGAAGGTGGTGCAGGTAGGAGACCATGAGCAAGGGAATTCAATAAGGAGCTATAGAACCTCAGTGGTTATCTGCCACTTGGGACAAATTTCTATGAAATGGAGATCCAACCCAGAAGAACAAGGGCAGTTCCCAGGAAATTTACAGCCTATCGACGAGTTTGTAGCACTAGACACACAAAGCAATTCCATAGATCTTGCCCTGGCCCAAGTCCCTCACCACGTCTTCCACAAAATCCCTGGAGGTAGGTCTCCTGATCCCAGAATGTACATTCACTGCTTCCTACATAACTGGTTTTTAAGAGGTACAAAGATAATCTGTGGTAAACCATCTTGTAAAAAGCATTCAAATGATGACTTCAATCTTTAAAACATCTAACTCAAATGCTACCGATTAAGCTTGTTTCTCATATAAAAAACGACTCCATATATTTATCAATTAGCATTGTGTTCTCTGTAAAAAACAACAACAAAAACCTTGTAACGGGCTTTAAACAAGCCTAGGGAGTAAGCCATCAACACTGTTTAGCATCTGAATGACACCAGCAGGCTGCTCTTACCTCTCCAGTCAGCTGTGCTGAGTTTACAGGTCTTCCTCCTTATGCTGCTCACCTCATGGTCCCAAGATGGCTGCTGCACCTCTGGATCTCAGTGTGTACTTTAGGCAGGAAAAGAAAGGATCAGAAGAAGGTTTAGTGTCTGGATCGAAAAAACAGAGGCTTTGCCAGAAACTTCCACACGTGTGCTTATGTTATACTGGCCATAACTGTAATACATGGACCCTGCTACCAGCAACAGACTTGGGAAATCATTTCTACAATGTACAGCCTAGAGAATCAATCTATAGTTTCACTTTTCCCTTTGTACCTAAAATGACTATTTCAAAGGCATTAATGTTTATCTATTAACCTTCACCATGCAGATTAATTCCAACTGGGGCTGGATATAGTAGAACCAGAGAAAGGGGGCTTTGGAATCCAGTAAACATGGGTAGGAATCATGGCTCCAGCATTTACCAGACGTGTGTATGGCATACATTTGGTTTTTCTGTTAAAAGGTTTCTTTGGGTTTTGTTGTTGTTGTTGTTTGTTTTAACAACATGAAATGTCTTTTAGTTGTGCCTACAAAACCTGTGAACCCTGCATTTGTTTGTTACTCTTAACGGTAGGGTAAGCCCACATCTGGCACATGTGCTAGACAACTGAACAAGTTACTTGAGTACTCTCAACTTGCTTCTTCTCTCTATAAAATGGGAAAATGGCCATTTCACTGGACAGCTACAAGGACTCTATAACACTACATAGGTAAAATAAAAATCCTCCTGTCGACTGAAAGGAAACCAACCTCAAAGTAGGCTAGTAAAGGCTATTGTCTGTTGTTTTACTGAGGACGATAGCCAAGGATGCAGTCTTTCCGATTGTTCTGCAGAATTGCCCCGAAGCTTATTAGATACAGAGGATTATGTATGCAAAAGAAAGGGGTATGCATGCTTGGAAGCAGTTCTCCAAGTCACAAGCACAAAGACAAGTCACAAGGTATAATTTGCTATGGTTTTAACAATTAAGGTTTTCTGATTTCCACACAGACATGTGAAAGACCCTTAGGTCATCTTAATACATGTTTCTATCATATCTGATTGTTTAAAAATTTTGCTTGCACGCCCGTGCTTAACTGGTTTTCTGGTTCTTCCTGTATTTGATTTCTTCTTGAGGTCATCTGAGATGGTCACGGGAGGCTGATTACCAGTCTGGTACTGTAGTTTTAGTGCACACCACCTACTGCTCCCCAGAAACTTAATTTTACACAAGCAATTACTTTGGAGAGCAGCCTTGCAAATGAATTATTTTTTGCAATGACTGTGAACCCACAAAGAAACCTTCAAACCTTGGTTTTGAGAAGCCTCTCCCAAACTGCTTATCTTAGCAAAAACCTGTGAAAAGCACTACCTCTGACCCTCTCATATAGCTTTGGTCAATGTTGGTTTTTTGGGTTTTTTTTCTTGTTATTGTTGTTTTAATTACGCAATGCTTAGCATTTGACCAATGCCAACTGGGTCCTGTTGAAATTAGCAGCAATTAGAAATTAGAATTATTCTATCCCATAGTTGTATTTGTGATTGTTATTACTTTAATCAAAAGTACCCTAACTTCCTCCAAATCTCTGATTTACCTGGTAGAACTGAGGTAATCTGTGTACATTATGAACACAAGCAAATAAATTATCGAAAAAAATGGACCTATTTTTACTTAAAAGTTCATATCCATCTAGAAAGATTGTTTAATGAGCATATTATTTCAAACCGTTAAATTAGGAGCTGTTAAAAATTACCTCACTAGCGCGCCTGGGTGGCTCAGCAGTTGGGCATCTGCCTTCAGCCTCAGGTCATGATCTCAGGGTCCTGTGACTGAGTCCTGCATCGGGCTCCCTGCGCCACGGGAAGCCTGCTTCTCCCTCTCCCACTCCCCCTGCTTGTGTTCCCTCTCTTGCTGTGTCTCTATCTGTCAAATAAATAAATAAAAAATCTTAAAAAAAATTACCTCACTAAATACAGTAAACAAGAATACAGTAGAAAAAAACCAAACAAACAAACATGATGTCTGTGCTGTAGCCTGTATTACCAAAACATTCTTTCTAGAATTGCGGGATCTTTTTTGGCGGTGGGGGGCGGGGTGTTGTTTCTGTGTGTGTGTGTATGTATGTGTGTGTGTGTGTTCTCTCCAGTCTCTAGGAATATAGAAACAATACAACCTAAAATTAAGATACTCAAGTAACTGCTTACAATCAAACTATCTCCCAAAAGAGTCAAAGGAAAGTCAGTAGAGAAAGTGCACTGTAACTTAAGGTATTATACAAGCTTAAAGTTATTATGCACTGAGAATTTTAATATTTTTACCAGGATTTAGATAAAAGTCATCAGTTCTTGGACTCTGAGAAACAAACTGAGGGTTCTAGAGGGAAGGGGGGGTGGGGGGATGGGTTAGTCTGGTGATGGGTATTGAGGAGGGCACGTTCTGCATGGAGCACTGGGTGTTATGCACAAACAATGAATCATGGAACACTACATCAAAAACTAATGATGTAATGTATGGTGATTAACATAACAATAAAAAATTTAAAGTAAAAAAAAAGTCATCAGTTCTCTCTGTTAATTTATCCATTCATTCATTATATCTTTATGGATTGATATACCAGACACTATACTAATTAACTTATTTAGATTAGGTTATGCAACAAATGTTCATGATGGAAAAATGAACTGTGAGATAATATGGGTGATTTCAATTTTATTTTTCTTGATATAATTTAGTGTAAGGGCCATGCCTAACTTTATAATAAAGGAAAACTTCAAATATTGACTAACTTTATCTAAGTATACAAAATAGTTTAAGGGTAAGAAAAGAAAAAAAATATACAACTGTAAAGGGTCCAAGAACAGAAAGGTGGGCAAACGGAGGAAAGTTGTTAAGGGTGAAAGGTGGAGGGGGGGGCGGGAGTGGGGGGGGAATTCCAAAGAGGTGGGTGGAGAAAAGGTGGAGCTTGGACAATTGACTCAGGTCTAAGAGGTCGCCCAAGGGCTATAAAAGCTTGGTGAAATCTGGCCAGGACAGCAGCCTGAAGTCCACGATTGGAACACAGGCAGAGACCGGTGGGCGACAGCGGCTGCAGTCCTAGAGGAAAAACACCCAGAGCAGAAGCGATGTGGTCCAAGATGCCACTCCTGTACTTGTCCCACCTGCTAAGGTTATGGCTGCTACTGAGCCAACTTCCCAGAGAGATCCCCGCTCAGAATGACAACGACATAATTAAGGCATGCAGACGCGAGTTAGTCCGCCTACGTATCCGGATCTGCGGCTCGGTCTCTTGGGGAGGAAAGGCTCTCCAGAAAGGTCGGGAACCTCGGGAGGCACCTGAACCACTTGCAGGTGAGCGCCCCCGCCCCTCACCGCTCTGTACTTCCTATTATTGGCTGTTGGCAGGCCACTGACCACTTAGAATGGCACCTGCACTCCCTGGCTCCAGACTGCTCGGGCTTCCCGCGCTTAGCCCTGACTCTTGAGGCTGCTGATGCCTAAAAGTTTGGAGTTTTCCCTTGTAATTTGCTTTTCTAGTACAGTCTCACCGGGGATCTCACCAGAGGGAGGGAAAGAGCGGGAACAAAGGCCTCTCCTGAGAGGCACTTGGAGCCCTTCACCTCCTGGCAATCTGGATGATCCAGATGGGGAGAGGGGGAGCCACAGAGGATGTTGGTTGCCCAAAGACCCGTTGGAGGTGGGACCCATTCCGGTTGGACCCCAGAGTCAAGTCTGCGGGCCATAGAGAGGGTGTGCTGGGGGCTGGGGCAACTGGACAGGGCATCTTGACTTGAGAGCACTGGAGGCAGTCAAGTGTGCCCTGGTTTGAGTGCCAAAGGGCCTGGGGCAGAACTCGGAGACTCCTGAGAGGGTCCTGGAGTGGGAGACAGGAAAGGGCATATTAACGAGTCTACTCCTTTGTGAAAAGGCTGGGCTGTGGTCCACACCATCGAAAATTTCCTCTTAATTTTATTTCTATTTGTAAACTTTACCAAAGGGAAGAGCCTGGCCTAGTCTTTGCACTGGATCTTGAAGTTCATTTGTGAAATAAGGAAGGTATTGAACATAAAGAAAAGGGCCTAATCTACAGGAGAAACTGAAGGGGACCTAGAATCAAGGGAAGTTCGCCGGGGGGAAGTTTTCAGGGGAAAAGCTGATTGATGCTTCAAGCATTTAGAAGCTGGAGCAGATTTTCTTTAAAAGCAAGACCCCAGAATTGAGTACAGCTCAAATCTGGAATGGTTTAAAAAACAAAACAAAAACAAAAACAACTTCTTTAGTAATAAACTATAAAGATAAACGAAGCTAAGGTTAAGTAGCAACGCAAACTTTCACAGACACATTATTCTAAGCAGTGTAATGGGTCATACTAAATTCAGAAAAGGCAAGCTCAATTATAAATAACTTAGTGTTTTATGTTTCACAACATATATGTAATTTATGATAAATCACAACTATATTTTATAGCCTATCCTGTATACAAGTGACCCTCATATAAAATTATTGTGCATACTAACCACCATTTGCTTCTCTTTTATGGGATTTAAAGCATGATTATAAAGCTATTCACTTTACTTTTCTACACTGTTGGTCAGAGACCAATTTATTTAATGCAAGTTCTTACAGAATTCTTATATAATATTATTAGAAGAGTACTACAAAGTTTAGGGATTTACTGATTCAAAGTAGGGATGACCAGATTGCATTGTGTTTCCTTTGCTAATTCACTTTTTCTGAATAAATAATATATGCTCATATTAAAGATTTAAACAGATACATAAATATAAGAAAAATGAAAAACACTCAGAGATATTAAAGACTTTGAAAAAATATGTGAATTTAATGAGGAAATAAAAATATCTATATTAAATGAGGAATTGAAAAGCAATGTTAATGAGATATGTAGGGGCACCTGGCTGGCTCAGTGGGTAGAGCATGTGACTCTTGATCTCAGGGTTGTATGTTTCAGCCCCACCCTGGTTGCAGAGATTACTTAAAAATAAAATCTTTAAAGAAAAAAAAATAAAAGCATTTGGAAATATGTATGTATACCTCCTGACTTTCACTTAATATTATAGTGTGAGCAGTTTCTCACATTGTTATTCTCCAAAAACAAAATTTAAAGCTATATCATAAATCTACCATATATATTTAGTCATTCTTAGTGGACATTTAGGTTTTAACCATTCTTAGTGGACATTTAGGTTGTTTCCAAATTGTTGCTTAAAAATGATTTTCTGAGAAGATTTATATATAGCTATTTAGCCAGATTTCTATTTCTGTAGGAGTACTGTGATTTAAAGTATTTTCAAAGAACTCTCTTAATTGCTACCCAGTACATAATTTAATTAGAAATAACCTAATATTTCGTGCAAGTGAAGATCAAGAAAAATGTCTAAATTATTAGTTAAGAATCTTTTGGAAGTATATGTCAATAATTTGTTATTCATGAGTTTAAAACCTCTATTGTTAGTTTTTGTTTTCATATTATTAAATTGTTAACGAACCATTTTTTCCTATAACGTGCAGAAATAACACTCATTGCACCCCTTTTAAAAAAAAAGACAGATATTTTTAACTAAAAGAGGTCTATGGTAGTGAAATTTTAGTCCAAAATACAGTGGTTAAGAGATTGCTTATATGATATCAGGTTGATTAGAATATCTTTTATTTAGACTTAAGAAGGTAAAGTTGTTGATTGCAAAATGTTTCAAAATAAGTTTAAAAAACACTTTTAATAAAAGAGTGCAACACAAGCAACAAAAGCAAAAGTGGAAAAGTGGAACTACATCAAACTAAAAAGCTTCTGCAGAGCAAAGGAAATAATCAGAGGGAAAAGTCAGCCTATGGAACAGGACAAAACATTTGCAAATCATGTATCTGCTAAGGGTTTAATTTCCAACCTATATAAGGAACTCCTACAACTCAATAGCAAAAAAGGTAATAACCCAATTAAAAAAATGGGCTAAAGACTTGAATAGACATTTTTGCATTGAAGACATACAATGGCCAACAGGTATAAGAAAAGAAGCTCTATATCATTAATCATCAGGGAAATGGAAATCAAAACCACAATGGTATCATTTCACAACTGTCAGGATAGCTCTTATCAAAAAAAAAAAAAAAAAAAAAACAGGCGCCTGGTTGGCTCAGTCAGTTGTGTCCCACTCTTGATTTTGGCTCAGGTCATGGTCTCAGGGTTGTGAGATCAGCCTCCGTGCTGGGTGTGGAGTCTGCTTGAGATTCTCTCCCTCTCTCTCTGCCCCTCCCCCCTAAAAAAAAGATAAGTATTGTTCAGGATGTGGAAAAACTAGAACCTTTGTATACTGTTCATGGGAAGGCAAAGCAAAATGGTGCAGCACTATGGGAAACACTATGGAGATTACTCAAAAAAAAAAAAATAGAATTACCATATGATCCAGCAATCCCACTTCTGCATATTCATCTAAAATAAATGAGATCAGGATCTTGAAGAGATACTGCCACTCCCACATTCATTGCAGCACTATTCACAATAGCCAAGATGTCAAAACACCTTATATGTCCATCCACAGATGGAAAAAGAATGCCAAAAACACAGCCTATGAATAAACACAACAGAAACTACAGTTGTTTTGCCGAATTAACTGGTTTTAAGTACATGGAAAGTTACTATTAGCTTTTCTCTGCATTCAGTAAGGCCCCAACTATAGAAGATTTAAATTAGAGCAGGGGGAATTTTATGAAGAGGTTGAATTAAACTTAGGATATCTTACTGAAGGAAAATGCAAATTTATACCAAAAATGGTATAAATTCTCATCTGTCAAAAAAAGATGGCGGAGGAGTAGGGGACCCTATTCCAACCGGTCCCTGGAATTTAGCTGGATATCTACAAGACCACTCTGAATACCCACGAAATCAGCCTGAGATGTAAGGAGATAGATCTGGATCTCTACAAACAGAATATCACAGGTGGTTGGTTTCAAGGTATGAAGCAGGGAGCCGTGATTCCACTGGCAGATATCAGAGGATAAATGGCAGGGGGAGGGAGCCTGGCCGTGGGGATCCTACACCGCCGGTGAGCAATAACCTACCCCACTGGGGACGGGGCACAGGCGCACAGACCGGTAGCAGCGGGGAAAGGACTTTAGGGCAGCCCCCAAGATGGAAACCCAGAGCAGCAGGGTCACGTGCACAAACTGGGGACGGCTGGTGGTTTTAGAAGCACAAAGGGCAGGGATGTGCCCTGACCTGGAGGCGAGGACAGGGAGCCCTGCTGAGGGGCACATAACCCAGGACGCTGCAGTTTACAGCAGCACAGACAGAAACAGAGATAGTATGGCCTGGAGAGCTCACTAAAGAACAGACTGCGATCTCTCTGCTCTGAGGCAGAGGGTTGGAAATGGTCTCTTCTGCTCTGACTCTTGGAAGAGACACGGAAAGCCACCAGGGAAACCACCAGAGAACAAAAGCCCCCAAAAAACAGTTTTCACTGAGCCCATCCCCCGCCACAGGAGGCAGGGCAATTCCGCCCAAACAGGGTTGCCTGATTAACAGCACAGCAGGCCCCTCCCCCAGAAGACAGGCTGGGAGAACAAGAGGCCAGCAACCCTAAGGTCCCTAGAAAACAGGTGCATCTTGCTTGGGTTGTGGTCAATAATTTGGACTCTCTACATTCCCTCAACCACCCCTCAACAGAATGATTAGGAGGAGTAACCCCCAAAATAGGAAAGACTCAGAGACTATGACTTATGCCACCGATTTACAAATGGATTCAGATATAACCAAGATGTCGGAGATGGAATTCAGGCTAGCAATTGTGAAGACAATAGCTAGAATGGAGAAATCAATTAATGGCAACATAGAGTCTCTAAGGGCAGAAATGAAAGTTGAATTGGCAGAACTTAAAAATGCTATCGATGAGATCCAATCTAACCTAGATAATCTAACACCTAGGGTGACTGAGGCAGAAGAATAAATTAGTGACCTTGAAGACGAATTAATAGATAAAAAGGGAAAAGAGGAGGCCAGGGAAAAACAATTCCGAGTCCATGAAAATAGAATCAGGGAAATAAATGGCACCATGAAATGTTCCAATGTCAGAATTACTGGAATTCCGGAGGGGGTGGAGAGAGAGCGAGGACTAGAAGATAAATTTGAGCAAATCATGGCTGAGAACTTCCCTAATCTGGGGAATAAAACAAACAGTCATGTCCTAGAGGCAGAGAGGACCCCTCCCAAGATCAAGGAAAACAGGCCAACACCCCAGCATGTAATAGTAAAACTCACAAATCTTAGAACCAAGGAAACCATCTTAAGGGCAGTTGGGGGAAGAGATTCAACATAGTACTAGAAGTCCTAGCAACGGCAATCAGACAGCAAAAAGAAATAAAAGGCATTCAAATTGGCAAAGAAGAAGTCAAACTCTCTCTTTTCGCAGATGATATGATACTTTATGTGGAAAATCCAAAAGACTCCACCCCCAAATTACTAGAACTCCTACAGCAATTCAGTAATGTGGCAGGATACAAAATCAATACACAGAAATCTGTTGCTTTCTTTTTTTTTAAATTGTTTAAAAGATTTTTATTTATTTATTTGAGAGAGAGAGAGAGCATGAGAGGGGGAAGGGTCAGAGGGAGAAGCAGACTCCCCACTGAGCAGGGAGCCCGATGTGGGATTCGATCCTGGGACTCCAGGATCATGACCTGAGCTGAAGGCAGTCGCTTAACTAACTGAGCCACCCAGGTGCCCCCAGTTGCTTTCTTATACAATAACAATGCAACTGTAGAAAGAGAAATGAGAGAAACAATTCCATTTACAATAGCACCAAAAACCAAAAATCTTCAGAATAAACCTACCCAAAGAGGAAAGGATCTATACTCTAGGAACTAGAGAACACTCATGAAAGAAACTGAAGAAGACACAAAAAGATGGAAAAATATTCCATGCTCATGGATCAGAAGAATAAACATTGTTAAAATGTCTAGGCTACCCAGAGCAATCTATACCTTCAATGCCATCCTGATCAAAATCCAATGATATTTTTCAAAGTGCTGGAACAAACAATCCTAAAATTTGTATGGAATCAGAAAAGACCCCGAATCGCCAAGGAAATGTTGAAAAAGAAAAAGCTGGGGGCATCATGGTGCCCAATTTCAAGCTCTATTACAAAGCTGTGATCACCAAGACAGCATGGTACTGCACAAAAACAGACATACAGACCAATGGAACAGAATAGAGAGCCCAGATATGGACCTTCAACTCTATGGTCAAATAATCTTCAGCAAAGCAGGAAAAAACTTCCAATGGAAAAAAGACAGTCTCTTCAATAAATGGTTGCTGGGAAAATTGGACAGCCACATGCAGAAGAATGAAACTCGACCATTCTCTAACACCATTCACAAAGATAAACTCAAAGTGGATGAAAGACCTCAATGTGAGACAGGAATCCAGCAAAATCCTAGAGGAGAACATAGGCAGTAACCTCTTCGACATCGGACACAGCAACTTCTTTCAAGATACATCTCCAAAGGCTAATGAAACAAAAGCAAAAATGAACTTTTGGGACTTCATCAAGATAAAAGGCTTCTGCACAACAAAAGAAAGTCAACAAAACAACGAGGCAACCCACAGAATGGGAGAAGATATTTGCAAATGACACTACAGATAAAGGGCTGGTATCCAAGATCTATAAAGAACTTCTCAAACTCAACACCCAAAAAACAAATAATCACATCCAAAAATGGGCAGAAGACATGAACAGGCACTTCTCCAAAGAAGACATACAAATGGCTAACAGACACATGAAAAAATGTTCATCATCATTAGCCAGCAGGGAAATTCAAATCAAAACCACACTGAGATACCACCTTACACCAGTTAGAATGGCAAAAATTGACAAAGCAAAAGACAACAAATGTTGGAGAGGTTGTGGAGAAAGGGGAATCCTCTTACACTGTTGGTGGGAATACAAGTTGGTACAGCCACTTTGGAAAACAGTGTGGAGGTGCCTCAGAAAACTAAAAACAGAGCTACCCTATGACCCAGCAATTGTACTACTGGGTATTTATCCCAAAGACACAGATGTAGTGAAAAGGGCCATATGCACCCCAATGTTCATAGCAGCAATGTCCTCAATAGCCAAACTGAGGAAAGAGCCGAGATGCCCTTCAAAAGATGAATGGATAAAGATGTGGTCCATATATACAATGGAATATTACTCAGCCATCAGAAAGGAGGAATACCCAACTTTTACATCAACATGGATGGGACTGGAGGAGATGATGCTAAGTGAAATAAGTCAAGCAGAGAAAGTCAATTATCATATGATTTCACTTATTTGTGGAACATAAGGAACAGCATGGAGGATACTAGGAGAAGGAAGGGAAAAATGATGGGGGGGGAAATCAGAGAGAGAGAAGAACCATGAGAGACTATGGACTCTGAGAAACAAACTGAGGGTTCTAGAGGGGAGAGGGGTGGGGGGATGGGTTAGCCCAGTGATGGGTATTAAGGAGGGCACAACTGCATGGAGCACTGGGTGTTATATGAAACCAATGAATTGTGGATCACTGCATCAAAAACTAATGATGTACTGTATGGTGACTAACATAACATAATAAAATAAATTTTAAAAAAATTCTCATCTGTCAGTTTAGAATGTGAATGAGAAAGCATTAGAAGGAAAGATAAAGTACTAGAGTATTGTTTTATTTGAAGTAAATACTCTGGGAAAAAGGAACTGTTAAATAGATGTGTGAGGGGCATCAGAGACTGGTTATCCCTTGACGTTTAGATCAGAACAGTTGAAAATTCTGCCTTTAACTTTATCCTGAAGCAGTAATTTGCCACCATGGAATATTTCATAGGATTACTATAATAACTCAGAAGTTAGTAATAGAAGAAAATTACCCAGGTAAGAAAAATTCATCTGTGATCAAACTGAGTGTTTTCAATGACCAAGATGACTTCAGAAATCAGGGAGAGTCAAAACTGCTATGATGAAAGCATTAAGGGGACATGAAGAAAGACTGACAGAAGGTCTGTGGAATAAAGCAGAATCTTGGTGATGCTGTAGTAATTTAAGCCACCCAACTATAATATCTAAGTTGTTTAGTTAGGATACTTGTTGAATCTGTTTTGATATTAATTCTATTAAGACAATGCTTTCCTTTACGTCTATGCAAAATTTTGTTTTCCTGATGTTCCTTGACTTGAGTATTTTTCTCTCTCCCCTCCCCATTTAGAAGTCGAGCCATCCTCCATCATCAATACAAAAACCTTAAATACAGTGTTGGAATATATTCCTAATTTGTCACAGGAGTTGAAGGCAACACTGTCTGCGAGGCAGCCATCATTACAAGAGCTACAACTTGCACTGGAAAGTTCAAATTTTAACTTGGAAGAATTGAAGAAAGTTGTTTTTAGTGGACAATATGAAGCTGAAGACAAAAGTCTTTCAGAATTAGAAACCTCAGGCTTAGATAAACATTCCCGAAAAAAGAGACAGCCCTATGTAAACTTAAGTGATAAGTGTTGTAATGTAGGTTGTACCAGAAAAGAGCTTGCTGTACTATGCTGAAAGTATTGTGTATTTCATCTATTGTTCACATGATTCTTGATGACACATTCACTGATGGCTCTGTCACCCCACTGATTATTAAAATATGAGAAATCATCATTTAGTATTTGGGCTTTTCATTTGGTGTGTAACAAAATATTCTTGCATTATTATAATTTCTGCTAATAATACTTTTTATTCCAAAAAATATTTTGCCTTTTTTATTAATGGTATAATTGTTACTGCTTTTTAAATGCTGTTAACTTAAAGTGACATAATCTTTATCATCTTAACCACACACAGTAACTCAAAAAAATTTTGATAGCTTAGTAAAACATTTTGCTTTGCACTAGTGAGAAAGGATAAGCCTATTTTTAAAATTTGTATTTGATAAATTATAATCTGTCACCCACTCTTTTTCCTCCAGACCTAATGCCCAAATGTTATTTCACTACTTAATATTTATGTGTTTAACATTAATGGCAACAGACAAAAATAAAAAAATAACTTACACAGTGCCTAACACCAGGTACACAAAATGGACCAAAATGTTTTTATTGATATCAATTCAGATCGGATATATAAAGAGTCACAAAACTTGGACTTTTCTAACAGATTTTAAAAGATTTTTGCATCTTATTGAACTATTAATTGCAAATAATCAGATTGAACACTAAATCAATTTAACTGAGTTGGGGACATATAAACTCAAGTATTTTTCAAACTAGGGTTCTTTTAATTCTACCATCTAAGACACTAAAAGTAAATTATATTTTTTAAGGAGAAAAATGAATAGATATATAAAAGAGAATAAACAACTGAGTGTCATATATTACAGAAGAACTGATTTAGCAAGGGAACAAACTTTATGTTTACTATTTGAGAATTTACAAACCATTTCTATAACAAAATAACTGTGAAACGATATGAAAACTTGTGAGAAAAGTAAATTAACAAGTATCTTAGTATTTAGCCAGTTTCTTTGACTTACATACACATACATTTCTAGGCAGCATTTATAGAAAACTTAAATAGCAAGTTAATCTCTATCAAATATCTATAAACAGAATTTTAAATATTATCCCCAATTTCAAATCTCCTTAATGGTTAATCACAATGAGTCTTCTAAGGTTTATTAAGTTCTAACCAAGGCCACCTTGTAAAACTTCATAGGTGGCTGCAGAACCTCACAGGCCATAAGCCACTTGGACAAAGCCAGGAAGAATGCTATCTGAAATGCAAAGTCCAATAAAGGAGAACAAGAGCAGTACCCAGGAAATTTTAGCCCCAACAGAATAAAGAGGCATTCCCAGACACATAAGACATCTCCGCCGACCCTGCCCTGACTCATATCCCTCATATGCTCCTCCAAAAAAGCCCTGGAGGTAGGTTTCCTGGTCCCAGAATCTGCATTCACTACCTCTGATGATATGACCACATTTTAAGTGATACAATCTATGGCTAACCATCTATTATATACACTCAAATAATCAGTTAACATCTTTAAGATATCTAATTCTCATGTTACCAAAGTCCTCCTAAAATTCTCACGAGAAACTAATTTCCTACATGTGCAGAAATAACACTCATTGCACCCCTTTTAAAAAATAAGAGATATTTTTAACTAAAAGACGTCTAAGTGAAATTTTAGTCCAAAATACAGTGGTTAAGAGATGTTTGTATGCTTAATTTATTTCTCATATAAAAAAATTTACTCTTTGTATATGTGTATCAATTAGTATTGTGGTCTCTGTAAATAACAAAGCCCTGCAATGGTGGCTTCAAAGAAGCCTATGGACTAAATATCCAACCCTGAATGATGCAAGCAGGCTCCTCACACATTTCCAGTCAGCTATGCTTAGTATATGGGTCTTCCTCCTTATGCCTCTCACGTCATGGTCCCAAGATGGCTGCTGCACCTCTGGATCTCAGTATGTACTTTAGGTAGGAAAAGAAAGGAACAGAAGAAGGCTTAGTGTCTGGATCAGAAAAGCAAAGGCTTTGCCAGAAACCTCCACATGTGTGCTTATGTTATACTGGCCATAACTGTGACACATGGACCCTGTTACCAGCAAAAGACTTGGGAAATCATTTCTAGACTCACTTATAGCCTAGAAAGTTGAGGTAAGCAAGGGAGAAGGGTCTAGAAAGAAGACTGAAGTAATCAACCTATACCTTTACTCATGCTTGCTGCTCTTGTACCTACAATGACCGTAGGTACAAGACATTAATCTTTATTAGCCTTCACTATTAACTCCATAATGATGTACTATACATAGGCTAATTGAATTAAAAAAAATTAACTCCAACTGGAGTTGGATCCAAGGGATATCACGGGAAAAGGAAAGGAGTCTTTGGAATCCAAAAGACATGGGTAGGAACTGCATTCCAGCACTTAGCAGCTATATGCATGGGTACATTTATTTTTTGTCTTTAAAAAAGTATCTTTGTTTCTTTTGACTGAAAACATTTATTTATATTTTTAATTAACTGACAATTTTAAAGCAGTTTTCATTCCAATTTTAGTATATGTGGTACCAAAGCAAATACAAAGCAATTTTCAGTTTACAGAAAAATATAGCAAAAAGTACAGAGAGTTCTCATCTACCCTCTTGCTCACAAAAAGTTTCTCCTATTATTAACATCTTGCATTAGTGTGGTTCAGTTGCATTACCTGATGAACCAATAAAGACATATTATTATAATTATTATTATTATGAAACTAGTTTGTTAGGTTTCATTCTTTGTGTTGTACATTCTGCGTTTTTTTTTTATTAACTGACTTTTTACATCAGTTTTAGGTTCACAACAAATTTGAGTGGAAAGTACAAAAAGTTCTCACAGATTCCCTTTCCCCTATCAACTTCACCTACCATTTGTACATTTGTTATATGTAGGATATTTATTACGACTGATGAACCACCAGTCACATATCGTTATCAAGCAAAGCCCACAGTCTACATTATGGTTCACATTTGATGTTGTACATTCTAGGGTTTTGACAAATCTGTATAACATGTACCCATCCTTACAGCGTCATACACAACAGTTTCCTTGCCCTAAAAATCCCTTGTGCTACATCTATTCATCCCTTCCTTCTCTCATGTCCCTGGCAACCAACCACTAATCTTTCTACTTTCTCCACTGTTTTGCCTTTCTAGAAACTCATACAGTTATCACAGTATACAGCCTTTTCAGATTATCTTCTTTTACTTAGTAATACACCTTTAAGATTCCTCCATGTCTTTTCAAGGCTCAATAGCCCATTTCTTGATAGCACTGAATAACATTCCATTGTATAGATACATCACAGTTTGTCCATTCACCTATTGAAGGACATTTTGGTTACATCCAAGATTTGGCAATTATGAATAAAGATGCTATAAATAACTGTATGCAGGTTTTTTTTTTAAAGATTTTATTTATTTGAGAGAGCGAGAATGAGAGAGAGAGAGCACATGAGAGGGGGAGGGTCAGAGGGAGAAGCAGACTCCCTGCTGAGCAGGGAGCCCGATGTGGGACTCGATCCCGGGACTCCAGGATCATGACCTGAGCCGAAGGCAGTCGCTTAACCAACTGAGCCACCCAGGCGCCCTGTGTGCAGGTTTTTGTGTGGACATAAGTTTCCAACTCCCTTTGGATAAATACCAAGGAACACAATTACTAGATCACATGGTAAGAATATGTACTTTTGAAAAAAATTGATAAACTGTTCCCCAAAGTGGCTGTCCCATTTTGCATTCCCACCAGCAATGAATTAGAGGTCCTGCTACTTACTGCGTATCCTCACCAGCATTTGATATTGTCAGTGTTCTGGATTTTGGCCATTCTAATAGGTATGCAACAGTATCTCATTGTTTTAATTTGCAATTCCCTAATGATATATGATATTGAGCATCTTTTCATATCCATTATATCTTATTTGGTGGAAATGTCTGTTCATATCTTTTGCTAATCTCTTAATCGGTCTCTGTTTTCTTACTGTTGAATTTTAAGAGTTCTTGTATACTTTGGACACCAGTCATTTATCAGAAATGTGTTTATACATGTATAGCTGCTTGTTTCATTTTCCAATGAGTGTCTTTCACAAAGAAGGCTCACGTTTTAATAAAGTCCAATGTACCAATTTTTACTTTCGTGAATCATGTTTTAGTATTATATCTAAAAGGTCACTGATGATTCACTCACAAATCAAATGAAAAATCAAATCAAATCAAATGAAAAACAAAACAAATGAAGAAAAAAGAGACAAACAAAAAAACAGACTTTTAACTATAAAGAACAAACTGATGGTTACCAAGGGGAGGTGGTTGGACGGGTGGGGAAAATAGGTGATGGGGATTAAAGACGAAAGAGTACACTTAACTCGATGAGCAGTGAGTAATTTACAGAATTGTTGAATCACTACAGTGTACACCTGAAACTAATATAACACTGTACATTAATTACACTGGAATTAAATAAATAACATTTTTAATAAAAAAAATAAAAATAAAAGATCATGGCAAACCCACATCACTTAGATTTTCTGCTATATTATATTCTAGGAGTTTTATAGTTTTGCATTTTTTATGGTAAAATACAAGTACCATAAAATTTATCATTTTAGCCATTTTTAAGTGAACATTTTATTGGCATTAAGTGCATTCACACTGTTGTACAACCATCACTACTATCCATGTCTAGAACTTTTCCATTATCTCACACTGAACCTGTGTACTCATTAAACAAGAACTCTCCATTCCATCACTGTGAGTCCTTGGTAACCACTACCCTAGTCTCTGTCTCTATGAAACTGGCTATTCCAGATACCTCACATAAGTGGAATTATATAATATTTGTCCTTCTGTGTCTGGCTTATTTCACTTACTATAATGTTTTTAAGGTTCACCCATGTTGTAGCATTTATCAGAGGTTCATTCCTTTTTATGGTATAATAATGTTTCATCGTATATACCACATTTTCTTCATCCACTCATCCATTAATGGTCATTTGGGTTATTTACACCTTTTGGCTTTTG